TTTCAATTATATATAAATAATTATTTGACAATTATTTATAATTTATTATAATTATAAATTATATTATAAAATATATCGTTCGATATTTTGTGATTTAATAAATTGTTATAATTATCGTTACAACACATATACGTATAAATATGTTTAAGTATTAAAAAATATATTTTTGAATTACAAATGTAGAAAATAAGTATTATACAATTCTAAATTGGTATAAATAGAATTAAATGATTTAGATTGTTTACAACTATTCGAAGAATGAATCATTCTACGCAAATACGTAACATGCAACACGCGTTTAAATCGTAGTAGTATAGGAAAAATTATTGCAATTACATTTCCTCTTTCCTTACTCACCACCCCCTCAGTTAGTTTTACATTTTTCTATTTGAGTTTTCATTTTGTATTCTTTATTTGTAAATTTCTTTTGTTTTTTTTTATTTTCTTTTTCTTCTTTTTTGTCTTGCAACTATGTTTAGTCGTGGTATGTTTCTTATCGTATTTTTAAAGATTGGAAAAAATAATAAAGAGAGAGAGAGAGAGAGAGAGAGAGAGAGAGAGAGAGAGAAAGAGAGATAAGCTAATATCAGTCGACAATCTATTTTTTGAGCTTAAAACAGAAACTTTGTTATTCTAATTTGATCTATTTTCGTAGATGCGATCTTACGTAAAATGATTATAATTAATTATTAATTATATAATTAGAAAAGAAAAAATGCAAAACTTTGTAATTAATTATTTATCATCATATCGATTGCAGAATTAATTTTATTTTATTAATTGTCTCTCAATTATTTTAATAATAGTTTATTAGAATTTTTTAATTAATCCATATATTATATATATATTAAAATATATATTATTTTATCTATTATTTTATATATTAAAGAAAAATAATATATATACATATAATATTATAAAATAAAATTTTATATAATATTTATATAATTTTATATTATATTTTATATTATATTTTATATAATCTAATAATATATTAAAAATATATATCTTTTAATAATTAATATATTAAATATTATTAAATTAATTATTTTATTTTATTTATTTTATTTATATATCTTAAATAAATGATCAGAGATATTACCAAATTAAACAAATACAATAATAAAATATATTTGATAAAGTTGAAAGAGAGAGAGAGAGAGAAATAATTGAAATAATTAATCAAAAAACTTTGAAATAATTTTGAATAATATTTGAAATCAAATATATTACTATTTCTTCAAATGTCTCTCTCATCTTTCCTTTTTTTTTGTACATTCTTTTTTTTCATTTATACGAAGAAGAATGCAGTTAGAGGGATATGAATATTGCATAATTGCATCATTCTCACTGTCTCTCTCTCTCTCTCTCTTTCTCTCTTTCTGGTCTTTCTTTTAACCGTGAAAAAAGGGAAGAAAAAAAAGGGGGTGCAAAGAGAGGTGTGATGGGGGGGTGGGTGGATAGGAGGGGAAAAAATGAAAAAAAATAAAAAGGTATAAATGAGGACAAGTAACAATGACGTCGTCGTGAAGAGTCCACTCCCCAGTAACGAAGCAACGCGGACCATGAATTTCAAATTTTCCACGACGATGCAAACACTGAAACCCACTGAGCCATTTCATGTTACAATCTATACATCCATACATACACACACACACACACACACACATTTATACACCCATTTATACACGCATATATACATACACATTTAATATTATATACATTCATATATATAAATATAGATATATTTTATGAATACATTTATATATAACATTTATATAAATTTTATGTGTGATTGTAGGTGTTTATATATATATTATAGTATATAAGGTACACATAGACACAAATATATATTTAATATTATGTGTAGTCGTATATAAATAGAGATATATTTTATGGATACTTTTATACAATTTACATTTATATAAATTTTATATTATATTATTATTTTGTTATTATTTTATTATATTTATATATATATATATATTTAAAATTATAATATAATATATATATATATATAAAATTTAATATATAATAATTTTATATATATATTTAGTATATAAGGTAAATATGTAGGTGTAGATGTATTCGAGAGAAAATTAACGCGAAATTACAGCACCGAATCACAATTCTCAACGACAAGTACGCATTTTAATGGACCCTGAGCGTATTACAGCATCGTTGCATTTTTGTTTGTTTTTTTTTTTTATTATTATTTTTTTTTTTTTCTAAAGATAGAACTTGGACGTTAAAGTAGCATGATAATTATCAAAGATGCAATAAATATATTATAAGTTCTTCTTCTGAGAAATTGAGATCGTACAATGTTTATCTGCCATTCAAGGAGATCTCTTTTTCTATTTTTTCTGGAGATTAGAATTATGTCGGAAGATGCGTAATTTTTTTTTTGAGATTAATTACATTTTTTGTTTTTTTTTTTGTTTTATTTTGTTTTGTTTTGTTTTGTCAGTACTTACTACTAATTATGTCATTGCAAATGTTTCATGGGTAATTTTAGGATGATTAAATTTTGTTTATGTTTAATAACGTGATACAGAATTATTTTAATTATATAATAATAAATAAATATAAAAATGAATATATAAATGAATATAAAAATAAATATAATAAATGAATATAAAATTGAATATAATTATAATGAATATGTGTATGTGTGTGTGTATGTAAAATAATATAACGAATAAAAATAAAAAATCGATTAGTATTATACAAATAAAAAAAAAAACAAAAAAACAAAAGAAAGAGTAAAGAACTAAAATAAAATAAAATGAGTAAAAGGTGTGTGACATTCATTGGTGTCTAGTATAGTATAGTGTTTGATAGGGACGATGAATACTTCCGGTTCAGTGGGCTAGACGACCGTGTTCGGTATAATTTAGCTCTAGGATTGTTCTTCTCGAATTTGAAATCGGGTAGCGAGGTTAACGAGGCCAAACTTTTGCCTTACACACATTTATATATATAAAAGAGAAAGAGAGAGAGAGAGGGAGAGAGAGAGAGAGAGAGAGAGAGAGAGAGAGAGAGAGATACTTTCCTTTAGTCTTTGTTAGCGAATCGGTCGTTTGCCGAATTTCAACCTAAAGTTAGATAATAAAGAGAAAAGGATCGCGAGAGTTGTGTTACACTAGTAACAGCAGCTGATTTCGACCAATGCCGTCCACCATTTGCTTAAATCGAATTATTTCCTTACCTAAAGTTTCTCTACAAAAGCTTACTACAAGGTAGAATCCCTTTTGTGTTTTATCTCGTGTTTTAACCAAAATCCCCATAAGATTTTCAAAGAATTTAACAAATTGTACTAGGAGATGAGTTGGACAACTAAGTCGTCTAGGGACATTTTTAAAATATGATTAGAAATTAGATATATCAAGAATGTATGGTAACATTACATAAATTATTATATTATATTAATTAAATAAATTTATTAAATATATATATGTTAATTATGTTAATTAATATAACATTATTTCTATATCGATAATTGTGTAATTATATTTGTTTTATTTTGTTATTATTTTTTTTTTTTGTAATGATTCGGTGTTTTATGTTATAGTAATGTTATAAATTATACATACATATGATATACTAATAATTTAAATTATATTAAATTATTATTATATTAATAAAATTAATTTATTATATATATATGTTAATTATGTTAATTAATATTTATTATTAATATTATTTCTATATCTATCCTTGTTAATTATTTCTTTTATAATGAACCGGTGTTTTATATATACAATAGTAATATTATAAATTATATATATATATATTATATACTAAAATAATGTAATTAAAATATATTAAAGAGTGTATATATAGAATTATATTAATTTCATTAAAATATTATTTTTACGAGTGTGTTATGTTATATACGTTTATCGAAGAAAAAAAAAATTATTTCTTTTTATGTAATTGATATAGAAATAAGTTGTTGTTGTTGTTAAAAAATAGAATCTCAAATTGACAAAGATTCTGTGTATTTGAGAATAAACATAAATAAGTATAAAAATTGTTATTTAATCAAATTTTTAGTCACTTGATTCATGTTAACACTCGATAAATTTGATTATCTTATATACTCTCGGTCATCCATTTAGATCATTCTTTTTTTTTTTTTTATGTCGCTTCTTTTAATATATGTGTTTACGAATATTTGCGAATACGATGATGAAATCTCTTGTATCGATTTTATTCTTATATATATATATATATTTTTTTTTATCGAACAAGGCTCTTGGCTCTTTAGTTTCCAAGGTTGTAAAAGCATATTTAAGTGACGATAGGTCAGTTTCCTTCCGTTTGATAAGAATTCCATCCCAATTACGTTGTTTGTATAATAATATTTATGAATTAGAAAAAAAATCTTCTCTAGAATTGCAATTGCAGGAAGTCAATCGATATGATCATACGATAAATTATTAAACAAGGTTATAGTATGTGTCAGTTTAAGTTTCTTCTCTATTACGATTACAATTCAATAAACATCCAATAAATATTTATTATTTACAAGTCAAGGTAATATTTATTAAATTCAATTGCATCTATAAGATATGTTTTTAGCAACATAATAAAATGTTATAACAATCACGATCGTTTACATTAAAATATAGTATATTTTAAAGTTTGACCAAGTTTTGTATTATTCAGTTGCAATAAGTCAAAGTGTTAATATAAATTATCAAATTGTTGTAAATTTATATTATAAATATATATGAATGAGATTATAGATAAGATGATTCAAGTAATTATCTCATTTTAAATATAACACTTCTTATATACTTCTTTTATAAATATATATTATAATTAATTTATATATAATATATTATATATAATTAATTTATAATTGTAATATAAATTTATATTATATAAAAAGTTATATTAGTTTTTTTTTATAAGTACTATATATATAAATACTATTATATTATATTATAAATTAATAGTATATTATATATAATTAATTTATAGTTATATAATATAAATTTATATTATATAAAAAGTTGTATTATAGTTTTTAATATATAATTATAATAATCATACAAATATATATTATATGTATTATAAATAAATACATATATAAAATATGCTATATTATATATATTATAATTATTATAAATAAAAGTATATATATATATATATAGATAAAATGTATAAGCTTTGTTCGTTATCTGTCATACCATCAAATAATACAAAAGGACAGGTTTTGGCGGCCCGTTAGATTCCATTTATGTTCTATTAAAGTTTTACAGTAATTAGAATCGTGGTAGCAATTAATTAAATATCATTGATTTCTCTTGACGAAGAGGATAGTGAATTGAAACAAGATATATATATATATATAGAAAGAGAACGAGGTGAGAGAAGGGGTGGGTGGTAGGGGGTCGAGAAGGGTGCAAGCAAATTAGATTTTACATATATATATATATTAATCCTAGTGTATGGGGACCTGTTGCATAGCTTTTTGAATTGTATACACTGACTAAAGAGGTATTAATAGATTCTTCTTTTGTTTTTTGACTAAACTAAATAACGTTTTTTTTTCTCTCCTTTTTTTTTCTTTTTTTTTTTTTGTAACAAACTTTTAACATATAGCAGCAATTAAAAAACCTAATGCACGTATACATATTTTACAATGTTGAGGGGTATATGCATTTCTCTCTATTTTTACATTATTAAAAAGTTTTACCATGAATACTAATATAAATCTTTTTAAATTTCATTCATAATTACTAAATTCTCGTATTATTCGTATTTTTTTTTTTGTTTTTTTTTTTTTTTAGACAAATCGTGTTTGTATCTTTTTATAAAACGCGTAAATATTTTTTTTTTTTCTGAAGGTTATGTTAAATCGTGTTTCGAATAAATGCTGTTTATCATCTGTGAAATTTTATCTTTCAAAAACAAAAGAAACAGAAACTGAGAAAACGTTGAATGTTAAATTGTTTTTAATAAATAATATGGAATATAAAAATGTTTATTAATGAGTCTAAATTGTGTCTTATAGTAATAATTATTGTATAAAAAATGATTTAGTAAATTAAAAAATTATAATCAAAGATACAAAAATTTATCTAATATAAATTTGTGTTTTATCAATTGTAATATATTAAACTAGCTAGGAATAAAATAGTAATTTTCAAATGACAATAATTAATAAGAAACGCAATATATATATATATATATATAGATAATAATTAAATAATTATTAATAATTCTTAATAATAAAAGAAAAAAGTAAAGTGAAAGGAAAAAGTGTTACCTTCGTTTGGAAAGACGACGATTTGATCGGTTTTACCATAAAAACTTTCGGCCGATTTTTCCGGTTCAAGTGGCATGCCGGGTCGAAGTTCGAGCACGTTGCCGTTTATCAATGGCTTCGGCAAGGTCGACAACGATATCGACACATCCGGAGGCTTAGAAAGCCTCAATTTCTTTAGGATCTGTTGCTTAACGTATTCTACCCTCAATACTGTTTGTATAGGATTTTGATCGTTGACAACAACCACCTTGTTTTGAGTACAATCCTGACATCCAACACCACCAACACCAATACCACTAGCAGCATTTGATTCCAAGGAATTTGTCGTAGTAGTTGTTTGAGTGGGTTGTTGTGGGTACAGTGATTTCCAAACGCTCATCAAGGGATTACTGACCCTAGGCCAGTCAGTCCCTATTGATATAGTTGGTACAAGATATAGTAGGGGTAATAAAATAACAAATCGCATCTTTTTTTTTTATTTCAGTTTTTGAGTGTGTGGTGGGTTGGTTTTTCTTCTTTTTCTTTTTATTTCTTCTTCTTCTTCTTCTTCTTCTACTTCTTTGTTTTTTACTTCTTTCTTCTATCACTATTTTTCTTTATTTCACGTTTAATTATTAATAGGAATGAACCAATTGAAATTGTTTGAATCACACACCTTTTAACAATAATAATACAATGTTCAAGAAGGATAACGTACCAATATCATCATAATTAAAATACTTTCCTTCCACTCGATCAAATTTTTCAAATAATTTTGAATACTCATCGATCCAGATATTTATTTCCAGATATAAATTTTCAATTAACTTGATCCTTTTCATAGAGAATTATAAATCATACAAACAATTAAGATTTAAAGGAATACAAAAAATAAATCAAATTGTTCAATAATAATTAAATTATATTTATAAATATTTTGAGAAATTTTTTTTTAAATGTCAAAATGAGTATAAATAAAAAAACTGATGAAAATTGTTCGTATGTTAAGAAAAGAAGAAAAGAAAACCTTTTTTCCATAAACTTTTTTCGCGAATGTTCCGGGTAACGCGTACGCGTGAAGACTGGAGGTGAATCTTAACTGGTTGGTCCAATGATGTATAGTTGACTGTAAAGCAAGTAATATGAACTTTGACCCTCATACAGTCAAAGCAACTGCCGATTGGACGAAGACGGATAGTACTGATATCAACGAAAGCAAAGCACGCGCCACAAACATGCCGCCGACTTCTTCACACAACTGGAATTCCATGTCATTTATAAAACCAATAAACTGAGATTGTATTGATTGATTATACGATAATTATAATGATAACTATAATTATGATGTTGATGATGATGATGATGATGGTTTTTTTAGAAATTAGTCAGATATTCACACGCTTCTTACATATGTTGGGGGGAGGGGTCATTGTACTAATTTTATAAATTTATACTTTTCAAAATCTTAACATAATTTTTACCAATTATTTCATCATTTATTTGTATCGTGATATTTAATTATTATTTTTCTTTTTTCTTTTTTGGGGGGAGGGGGAGGTAAATATTTGTAATTTTTTATCTCGTGTGAATTATTTTATTAATGTAGATTTTGTTTAATAAGTTTGATTTGATGAATGAATTAGAAAAGAAAAAGCAAAAGAAATGAATAAAAGCGTTATTAACGAAAAAAAAGTGGTGTAGGCATGTAAAGAATATGAGTGCCAATTTTTTATATTATTTTTGGTTATTTTATCACATCTAGAATATATAAATTATTAATATTATTATATATTAAATAAAATTCTAATAAAATTCTAATAAAAGAAAATTAAAAATTTTAATATTTAATTATATTAAATTAATAAAATATAAATATATATATATACACACAATTATATTTTCTCACTTATTTTATTGTAATTTTCGTTGTTAATGATAAGTTAAGAGGAAAAAAAAAGGTTATTGTCCTGCAATTTCATTAATCGTACGTTAAACTTATATGTATTATTTTTATTATTAATTACTATTGGGGGATTTCTAAATCAGTAGAAAAACAACGTGCATATAAAAACGTTAAAATTCTTGACAGATAACAGTAAATGAAATAAAAAAATTATAAGAAAACAAAGGAACAGAATTATAAGTGAAAAGTGAAATCACTTTTACATTCGTTTTAAAAACAACGTGAAAATATTTGTGTTGTTTACACATAGTAAGTTTTACCACACAATTCTCCTCTTACGTTGCCAGATTTAAGTTTTAATCGGTCAGAAAGAATAATAGCTGACTATTTACGAACACGATGATAAGAATATATTATAACGTAAACATACGTTTGTATTCCCTAACAACACCCACATCTATACACATACAAACATTTATATATATATACATATTGAATCGTATGTAAAAAGTTTGTTTCTTTTTTATTCATTTAAAAAATACGAGAGAGAAAATAAAACTTAATTTATAATAAATTAAAATATAATAATTAAATTGATAAATAAATAAATAAATTCACAAAATAAAATACAAATATAAATTAAAAATATAAATTAAAATTAATAATATAAATTAAAATTAAGAAAATAAATTAAAATTATAAAATTCGTTGTTTTAACATACCAACGTTGTTTTAACATACTAACATTGTTTTAACATACCAAAATATATATATTTATTTTAACAAGATGAATTTTGTTTAGTGCACTTTACTCTTTCTCCTTCTCTCTCTTAATTCTTTATCTTATATTATTATTATTTTCTTTAGGCTTTCTCTCCTTGATATTTCCATAAAATCTAGTGGGCCAGGAGGAGGATAAGCAACGTTAACTTTGGACAATTTAATAAAACCATTTGCATTCCGACCGGGCCGGGCCAGGCCGGCCCGGACGGCCCGGCTTCTCGATTAACATGATTTACGATTTAATATTTGCGCAAGTTGAAACTCTCCGTTGCTTTTATTCCACTGTGCTAACCAGTTTCCTACAGAAAGAGACAGGGGGTGGTGGTGGAGGTGGGAGGGGGAGTAGGAGGAAAAAGAAAAAGGAAAAAATGAGACAGAGAGAGAAAGAAGAACCGCGGAATGAGAGATAGATACAATAGAGAATGTAAGTGAAATAAAGATAGAGATAGAAACAGAAAATGAGAGAGAGAGAGAAAATAAGAGAAAGAGAAAGAGAGAGAGAGAGAGAGAGAAAGAGAGAGAGAGAAAGAGAGAGAGAGAGAGAGAGAGAAAGTTGAGTATTCTCTACGAAAATTATCTCGACGAATGCAGTTGTGGCAGAAATTTCGTAGGAGTAGATATATATATATATATATAAACATTATACATATTATAATATATATATATAAAAGTATATGTATAACATATATATGTATATATATTTTTATATATTATTAATTTTTATTTTATCTAATAATTAATAATAAATTTATATATATAATTTTATTTTATATAAAGTATATAATATATACTTTAATATACTATATAAATAAATAATTATAATATTATTAAAAGTACATGCATACCATATATATATATATTGAAAGTATATGCTATATAAATATATAAATATAGAATATAAATATA